TTGTCACTGCCGCTTGTCGCTGTCACTAGAAAATCGCGTGCATTCGGTTAGAACTTAAGCACCCCCCCCCCCCCCTTGTTCACTGGCGAGATAAGCGCACGCGCCGCCGAGCCCGACAGGAAAGGCGATGTTCGCTCCGCAGAAAGAGCAGGCAGGCTAGCGCATGCTTCCGCGTATATATATATATACATACATATACATATACGTGAATGACGGTGGCAGTGGTGGTGGCAACGGCAAAAACCAACTGAGACTATTCGTATAATTGCTATCGTAATAAAAGTAGACGGAAGCGAGGTTTAATAGACATACAAGCAATGTATTTGACGAGCTTTTGATTGATATGATTGATATGTGGGGTTTAACGTCCCAAAACCACTACATGATTATGAGAGACGCCGTAGTGGAGGGCTACGGAAATTTAGACCACCTGGGGTTCTTTAACGTGCACCCAAATCTGAGTACACGGGCCTACAACATTTCCGCCTCCATCGGAAATGCAGCCGCCGCAGCCGGGATTCGAACCCGCGCCCTGCGGGTCAGCAGCCGAGTACCTTAGCCACTAGACCACCGCGGCGGGGCATTTGACGAGCTTTTAACGAGTGCTCAAAACGCGGGAAAGACTGTAGTGTCTGCGGACGTTACAACTGGAGTAAAGCTGCACGTGCTGACACGCCGAGGATATCAAAACGAAGCACATATGTCTGATCAAATCTCAATGAGACATTGATTGAAAGGAAGACCTATTATAAATGAAGGATCAACAGTGACCAAGCACAGGGGTGTCTCAAGCTCGAATCAGCGTTTCGATAGGGTGATTTGCCCTCACCTTGACCAAGGCAAATACCGTTGTGGAAACGTTGCTTTCATCCTCGAGACGTTCCTCGTTCGACCAGTGTTGACGTGCACTGCATGCTTGGAGCAACAATAATAGCTGCGATCGATCCTAAGAGGAGGTCGTGCGTTCATTACTTCGCTTCACCGAAAGAAGAGGAATCTAACGTGGGGCGCGTTTAATAACACCCCGTACTCTAATATTCGCATTTATAATATCTAATTACTGTGAAATAATATGAAATGACAGTAGAGGAAAAACAACCGGCTGTCGGTGGGAAACAAGCCTGCTACTTCGGCATTGTTTTTCGCGTGCGGCACCTAAGCTTCATATCCATATTGGCTGTATATGGGCGTGTAGGGTTCTGCATTTACCATGATAATATATGATAGCGCAGTCAAAGGACGCGGACAAGAAAAGGCACATTCAAGACAACACAGTGCTGTGTTGTCTTTAATGTGCCTTCTCTCGTCCATGTTCTTTGACTGCGCTACTATATATTATCATGCTACCAAACCAACAAGCCCAAATCGCCACCCTCATAATCTGCATAGTTAAGGAGGAACCAAGTTAGCTGCAGCGTCCTCTCCTACCTGCCTTTCCTCCCGGAAGTAAAGGTGCGAAGGAAACAGCTCTTGGAAAGCAACCAGTTACTTGGGTCCGACTTGATGACAGCTGCTATGGGCTCTTTTCCGAGCCGTTCCCTTTCGGAAAGTATATCATTCAGGATGGACAACAATTTGCCTTCTTAGTGGAAGTGGAAGAATCTGGAGCGCGAAAGCGCGTTATGTCAATAGTTCACTCAATTTTACATCACATATATCGCCGTTTTGGCGCAGCATGCCGCATACTAAGCTTGTTGATCTGAGAAACCAAGCGCTATAGATATCCCGTGGTTCGAACGTGATCAAACGAGAATACCGAAATAAGATGCAACGTTTTGCTTCTTACATAAGATGCAAAATAACATGCAAAAGGCCCCAGTTTTCATCCAAGTTCACCGTACCCAGCCTCACATATCACTTATATTAAAACTGTTAAATGTTTTGTGCGGAAAGGTTTTCAGTGGCAGAGGACGTTAAACTTATAAGGTAGAGTTATGTCTTTATCTTGGAACTAAACCGCGGTGGCCATGACATCATTCACAGCCTTACTGGTCACAGGACAAACTCACTGGAACATGGTTGTCAAGAAGGTTTAAAAGATTTCAGACGTGACTCCTGGCGGGTTCAAATCCAGGGTTCGAAATTAGCAAGTGCTCAGCAGCAGCCAATGAAATAACATAAATTTGAGAAATGACAATCTTATATGCGGCAAAGTTCAGCGAAAAATAATAAGCATTGGCGTGATACTGATGGTTTGAATGTTCTCAGGTGAGTAAAGTAGCTGTGGGAAACGCTTGAGGTGCGGGCGTCTAACACCAGGATGTTCTGCAACGTGCGCCGAAAGCAGGGAGAGTCGCTTATCGTCCGGCCCAAGAACAACCCGGACAATAACTATGAAAAAATGTTCCTGAATATACCGTATGAAAAGTCTGAGAGGAAAAAAGAATAAAAAAAGATGAAAGAAACTCACACAATGTCTGGAGCAGGGAGGTCGACCTAAAGTAATATCCTCTAGCCTCCTACCCTACTTGCAGAAAATAGATAGAAAGCTAGCTCCTATTCCGTGTACGAAGCCAACTGATGAGAGAAGCTTCTTAGAAATGGGATCCCAACGACCACACGGCTGATCTTGCTGCTGGCTTTCATGAAAACGGTAGGGTGGGGAGACCGTTTGCTTCTGTGCTTGGTGGCTGGTGAGTGTGCGGCGCCTGCGCTCGCCGGGAGCGCGCACTTGTTCTTTTGAACTTTTAATTGCTCGACGCGCTTGCCCGGTGATAGGGATTTCGACGGCGACGGCGGAGTGCGGGCCTTAAAGGAGCACTGACATCAAATTTACTCATGCCAAGATGTTTGCGTCAGCGAGTAGCTATAGACCCCGTAGCAGCAATTCGCGACCTAAAACGCAGCTAAGAAATGAATAACTATCACTTTTATTGATTTATATTACTGGGATCTAGCACTATTCAAAAACGGCCGGCAATACCGCCACGTTTAGCACTGGGAGCACCAGCAGTGGCGCTACCTCGCAGTCCCCTCCAGATCGCGCCACAGCTGACCACTTTTCCACAAAAATAGTGACGTCAGGCTCAGTTACTCCGCAAACATTTCGTCTGCTAGGTGGACACGTTCAGTCATGCCTTGTCACCTGCATTGCTGTCGTCGCCGTACAAAGTGTCGACTCGGGTTCGATACGATAGTCTGGAGCTTGCAATCCCCGCGATTCGCGACGTCGCGAATTGTTTTTGCTTCGATCGACATTTTCTAGTACAGTGATTCCGAAAGGGACGCCGTTCCAAGCAGCACTGCAGAGGTGCTCGAGAATGCACGCTTCAGGCATGTTCGCTCGTGTGTCTCAGCTATATTGGTGTGTTTGGCGTGCAAAGCAGAGAGGGGTCAATGCAATATAGCTACCGTGAATGAGCATCAGCGGAGCAATAGAAAACGTTTCCTTCTTGTCAGGTTCTTTTTTGCGCCTCCACATTGCCCCACCTATCCAGCCTCTCACGGTTAACACGGTATTACCACTTTTACGTGAACGCAAAGTCGACAGAAGAACTAAAATTCAATGATACCTGCATGTTACTTGTTAGCGATGATATGTGACAACACACTCTACCAGTTTTGATAGCTTGTGGTCGTGTTGATGTGTAACACATACGTGATATGAAAAGACACCCTCAATGCACTTTTTACGTGCTTCGAACTAGACGACTGCAACTCATCTGCAACTCACAATAATTCCCCGACATGCTGACCGACAAGCACAAGTTTAATCATACTCTTTTCTTTCGCCATTCTATTGAAGGTGGTTTTATCTTGATGATTTCACGAAATTATTCAAACCGGTGCGATGAAGATCAGACGCGACGAGCCACGGCCGGGCTAGACTGCACCTGCGAGTGCTAGCCCGGCCTTAGCCCGGCCGTGGACGAGCGAGTGCGTTTCTGCACTTCGACGCCAGTCGGCGCCATGATAAGAACACTCGTATTGTACACGTCATCGCTACTAGGGCATCGTCACTCAGGATGGTATTTGTGGAATGTATCACACTGAACACGTAGCACTAGTGTCGATGTCGCAGGGCAGTCTATTTTTCGTTTTTTCTCCTTAGCTTTTCTATGCAGTTTCACATCAAATTAAAATAACTTCCACGCGACGGATGCCGTTCAAATTTGGCCAAGAAGACCTATGCACACCAAGTGATCAAATGAAGGGCACATCTCGATTTTGAAATTTGATGTCAGTGCTCCTTTAAGAGCTTCGCTCTTTAAAAAACAGTGCTGGGAGGTGTTTTCATGACGGTGTAGGCTAGCACAGGGATGCAGGAGCGAAGCCAGAAATTGTTTCGGGGAAAAGGGTGGCAGGGGTTCAGCCACCCTCCAGTTAAGTGTTTAAGATAGTTATGTATATAAAATTTAGAGTTGTATTTTATATATGCGTGTGCACATATACACGTGCCAAATCGAAAAATTTTGGAATAAAGATTATAACGCCCCCCCCCCCGGCCTCGCACCTGTCTACGTGTGGGCAGGGTTGCGACCTTGGCTTCCAAAAGGCCCTTTGGCTTCAGGGGCGTAGCCAGAATTTTTGTGGGCGGCGTGGGGGGGGGGGTAATTATACATTATTTATACTCGTGCCTGTGTTTGTGTGCGTGTACATATACGCGAGCAAAACTTTAAAAAAAATTGAAGGGGTTTGGGCTCATCCCCCCTACGCCCCTGCTTTGCATCAAACTCCGCGCAAATGAAAAGTTTCAGCCGAGGCTTCATTGACAAGGCCCTGTCACATGTTCTGAATCAGAGCTTAATTACTTCAATACTATAACGAAGAGGTTAACGCTTGAAGTTCATTTTACGGAAAGTAACAAGCGTAAGTTATATGTGTTACTCTGTTTCCTGTATACTGTACGCATTACAGACTTATGAGTTTCATGCATTGCATATGTTGTCGTGTAAATGGAACACCTATAGTTGCGGAATGGGGTGAGACGATCGGGCATTGTAGAAAGTGCGCGCATTTTACACTTGATTTACTAACGCTTTCTTCACCGCTCTTTGCAGGTCGAAAAGGTGTCGACAGCGAGACGGCTTTTGTCATCGCCATTATTGTCGTTTTTATTGTTATTGGTGTCTTCGTGTTCATCTACGCGTGTTGCGTTACCGAAGAAAAGCTGAAGGCCGCAACGAAAAAGAAGGCATCCCAGAAGAAAAAGGACGCCGCAGCTCCGCAAGCAGGCACCGCGCCGACAGCACCAACAGCATCTACGCCTGCAGCACCGGTGGCGCTAGCTGCCGACAGCAAGGCGAAGCCCTCTGCATTCGCGTCTCCGTCGCCGGTCAAAAGCGGCGGTGGTGACACGCGGAGCACCGAAATCGTGCTCACCGTACAAGAGGTGTCGCCGTCGGTGTCACAGCATCATGCGCCAGCACCGGTGATGTCCGAGTTGACGCCGACGTGGAAGCCGCTCAACACAGATCCACGGCAAAACGGAATAAAGAGCGTGGCTTCCGAGCTGGCGCCGGCCTCGCAAAGCACTCCTGTAGCGTGTGACCGGGCGTACTCTGTACACCTCTAGCGGGCGCCGGTATTCTCCGAAAAGTGCACGGCGCGAATAATCTACTAGACGAGTCATTTTAGTGTGTTCCCGCGTGAGTCAAGTGCCACTGGCAGTCAAGTGCCCGCTCGCTGCACGAAACAGGGTTTGAGCAGTCGCAGGAACGATTTCTCAAGGAGCAGAAGTGGAGCATTCAGTGGTGGCGCGAACCTCGTGTTGTCTTGTGCGTGTTGTTCCTGTTTTATTACGTGTTGTTATGTGTTATTGGAGAACTCTGTAAATACTACGGACATCGTTGGCCTTTCTGGCGAAGCAGAAGCCGGTGCATAGTGCGAAACGGCGCTTTACACAAGAAAGTGTGTGTTCTTGTCCCTCTATATACTCGTTGTGCGTTCCACACCGTTCTTCTCTACCAGACAAGCATAGCCAAAAGAAAAGATACAAAGAAAGATTATATTAAAATGTGATTTTTCATTTGCATACGAGTGATTGAAATGGGGGTGGTAGAATATTTTACACGATCATTTACAAATAAGCATGTATTAGGCACGAAGCAGGATATTAATGCTTCACTGGCAATGCGAAGAAGTGCGGTCTTTAACTCTCGTTATTTCCTTTAACCAATGAGCATACACATGTGAAGAGCTGTAGCGAGACCTAATAATATAACAGAATCTATGAGGGAGTGCTGTTCGCCCAAGTTGAATGTTAAGTCCCTTTTACTGTCGGCACGGGATAGTATAGCGACGCTACAGGTACCAGATTAGTACGAACAACACTTGCTCGCCGCCACATCATCGTCCTCATCCTATTTTATGTCTCTGGTGGAGGACGCTTTGAAGCGAATCGTGATAGTTGGAACATACTCATTACAATCAGCGAAAAAAAAAGAACGCGGAAACACAAGAAAATGCTCGTCATTAGCGCTTGAGTCCTGCACTTTTTTTGTTTTCGTGCTCCTCCTTTAGGTTTGTATTTTGTATTGTGATGATTGTGATGAGGACGAAGTTTTTTCCCAATGATCTCTGAGTTACCTCCTCTTGTGCAAGCTGATTTTTTTTATTTTAACGAACTTTGCGATTTCGTCATTACACCTGACTTGCTGCCGCCTTCAGCTGTGTTAAAGGTGATCTAAAGCCCTAGCTCACCCCAAACACCTTCCCACAACAGACTTCCCAAAGATATTGCCAAAGAACAAAGCTCAAATGTCCGTGGCGCTAATCCGCCCCGACATTCGAACACACAATATCAGCGAAAGCAGCGTCCGATAGATGTCCTCTCACCGCTAACTGACAAGAGACTCATCAAGTGGGGGTGGGGGGCACAACTCACAGGACTAAACTTGGTCATGCTTTGCGAGCTGAAATATGGTGTGGGGCCTTGGAAGAGTGGCTTCACCTAAAGAATCCAGTAGCCAAGCAGCCTTACGCTAATAACTCTGTTTCCCTGTCTCTTCTCAACCTTTGGTATGTATTACGTTGATCTAACTGACCGTCGGTTGTTTGTCCTGCACATAGCATGGCCCACCACCTCTTTTTTTTTTCGCTTACTGCTAGCTGCTCGCAATGCCCATGAACCAAAGGTAACCCGCTGTGTGATTAAAATTGGTACCTAGAGGAGGGTTCTATGTGTTATAAACCTGTCACCTGGGCACCCGCGAACACAGTTTATCACCCTTATCTTTACGGTAAGGGAGATGCGGTCCGTGTCACACGGCGACCCCTACCAAAACTAAAGTAAATGGAGCATTTCGCGAAGGAAGTTCGGCGATCTGCCTTTGCAGCGGAACGAGGTACGCTCGTCTCCAGCAGCCTGCAGGTCAGAAAAAAAATTGAACACTAAATTACAGCATTGAAAACAACAATACATTTGTTCTTGTTCACTTCTTGTGGAGCTCCTCCGACGGAAGCGATAGATGACAGGCATTGGAGACGCCAGCGCACGCAGCCTTCTGCCTGTTGTGTTCCCACGGCTGCACGTACAATAATATAGTAAAAGTAGTTAGGCACATGTGACAGAAGATGAAGATGCACGCATATGACAAATACGTGTACGTTAATATAAAAACAAACGTTAAAATATGACACACAAATAACTTTACCTTCACATATCGCACAGTCCTTCTGAAGCTGCTCTGACCAAAGAGATGGATGACAGGCATCGCCGACGCCAGCGCACACAGTCTTCACCACGGTGTGTGCCCACGGCTGCACAATAAGTTTGTAAAATAGTGAGTCACACGTGACAGAGGATGAATGCAAATGCATATGAGAAATACGTGCAAGGTGAAATGAAAACATACGTGAGATATAACATGCTAATAAAATAAATTCACCGTGATGCCACACATCGTCAAAGACTCATTTCGATCCCCGTAGCGCAGCAGCTTAGGAGCGGCGGCCGCAGCCACAACTCCGCGAACCACCATGCCGCTAACAAGTCGGCGAGTCCTAAGCGAGCGACGTCGTTCAGCTCGAGCAAGCGAATGCGAGACCAAGCACGGCGCTGCACGCGGAGTGTCTGCCGCCAGCGAACTTCAAACAGTAGAGCGAGCGTACGCTTGGCCACCACCACGAACAGCGCCGAGCTGGTTTGGAGCTAGCGTCGAAGAAATCGACGGCAATGCGGCCCTTTTTCACAAACTCAAGCGAGTGCAGCGCGCTAACGCGTGTCCGCCACCGCAGCCAACGGATGGCGCCGAGCTGCTTGCGACCGGCTGACGGGAAAGCCAACTGTAATGGCGACAAATTTTCAGTGAGTTCCGACACTAGCGAAAGCCCCGCCAGCTCATGCTGGTGCACTTACAGCGCGCGACATACTACAACCAAGCTCTTTACGAGAACCCTCAACGTGTTTCCGACGATTCCCAACACAGCGATGAGGTCTCAGCCCAATATTGTCAGCCCGGAGCTCATCGCGGCGGCGAAGACAGGCGAGCACTCGATGAGCGAGCGTATGGGAGGCCGACGGCAATGGCGGCCAATTTCCTGGCGGTCGCAAAGCACAGGTGAACTGCAGACGCCGAAGCTGACCTTCGCGACGCATTTCGTGCGTGCGATATACAACACGACCGAGCCCGTTGCCGGCAATCGCGATCCGTATCACACACGCGACAAGTAGAGTAGAATAAAGAATAATAACCTACTTGCCTTAGAATTCAGCCCTGATTTCTGCTCCGAGTCGGACTGAAGTAACGTATCCGATAGGCCTGTTGTCTTCTCGGCCGCCATATTGGCCTTCTCAACTGTTGCTGTCGTGCGTTGGTCGTGACTATCTTGAAGCCAGAGATATACAGCGCGGCGTGGTGACGTGTTGAGATTTGCTCCAGACTTTGTGGGTGCAGCGAAACGCAAAAGCAGCAGCCCACGCTCATCCAAGCGTACACACAAGCACCCCGTCGTAATTCTTAGATTGTCGAATCCAGGCGGCCGTGGTCGAGCACTCCGAGTGCGACGCAACGTGAACCATCGACGGCAAAATATGGGGAAAGACTGAGCCAGCAGAGAAGGAGAATGAGGGCTGGTCACTTTGGCAACGCTTTTCGCGCTGCCTGCAATCCCCGGGCGGTTCATTCCTTTGGAGCGTGTTTGGAGACTAAGTGGTTTCGCGCGGCACGCTTCCCTCTGTGGTTGCTCCTCAATGGTCTATCCATTCATCGCGTGCGCCTGTTGGGCTCTGCTACTACTTTTTCGGGTAATTTTGCCTTGGAGTGTATAGTCTTAGTTTTGTACCATGACAATGTGTAAAATATTTCTCTTTGTGGAAAAAGTTTTTCTGTCACTTAAAACCTATAATTATAAGTCATTAAACTCATATTTCTCCACATTAACTGTAAAATGCAAATACCACTCAAAATTGTGTATAATACTTTGAAATGAACAAGAAAACATGCAATGTGAAAAGTTTTAAATGCTCAGTCCATAATAAGTGCTGTTTTATAACCATTATATAAATGATATCATGCTTTGAAGCAAATTGCTCTCTTCCTATGTTAAGAAATATGTGACTAAAGTGTCATCTTGATCTGGCCATCCAAAGTACTTCAAACGTGACATCAAAACTCAAGAAGTGGTCCCAATAGGCATCTCGAAAAAAAAAGTCACAGCATTGCCGCAGAGGCGAAGCAATGAACGCGATAGCAACAAATTGGAAGGTCATGTGCAAAACAGCAAGTAGATAGAAACGTGCCCCGCGTTTCTCACGCGCAAAAGACGCACGAAACGTACTGACAGGTACAGAATAAGGCGAATAAGCATCTCAGTTGTTACTTCACTGTGTCTGAAAAGCGCGCCCATTTCGCAAACGGAGGCTGTGCAACGATTACACTGACCTTTGTGAATCGGGTAACTACAACAGAATCGTTCCGACGAAACTCAAAGGCTAGCGAAGACGTACGATTCTCCCCACTGCAAGATAAGGGCACGCGATCGAGCGTACACCCCCTTATTTTCTGAGAGTCGCCACGCACTCACTGCACCAGCTTGCTGATAGTGCTAGTCCCCCCCTTCCCCTGTTACTGCTGCCATGTTATTGTTACTGCTGCCATGTGAGGGCTTTTAAGTACATTCTAGGTGTATGATGCAACTTTTCGCCTAAATGACGACCAACAATGTCGTTGAAAAAAAAACATCTGACGAGTATCGTGCTCGGCTCTCTAGCTGCGACGTGATGAACGACGTCACTCACAACACTGCCAATGGCGCGCCTGCTTGGGTATGACGCAGAATGAGTGAGTGAAACAACTTTATTGTCCATCCGGCATAAAGAGGGAAGAAGTAGGAGAATTGAAGCAAGGCTAAAGCGTGCTAGGCCGTCCCGGAGCAGCAACCTAATCACGTAGAGAACGCAGAGAACGACGTAACTAGTAGTACAACCAATGAAAATAACTCGTGAAACTGCTGCTGAACAGTTTTAGGGGCAAAGCTCTCTAAGGCGTGGGTCGGTTATCATCTGTATGTATCCATGCATGTAGTAACCACCTCACAGCATATCCACGGAGTGAATGATGTTGAGTGGGGCGAAGCTTAAGAGGGTTTCATCGGCAAACCGCCAATCATCCGCTGGCCGCGTCCGTCCGTCCGCCGTCTGTCTGTCTGTCTGTCTGCTTGACGCACGGATGAATGCGTGGTTTAACGCACGGACGCAGGCACAAACGCAGGGACGGATGCGCGGACGAATGCGCAGACGAACGCATGAATGGACGCATGAGCGAATGCTCGGACGGATAGATGGATGGACGCATGGACGGAAGCAAGAACAGATGGATGAAAGCGTGGACCGACTGACCGACGCTTCACCCCACCCATCAACATTCACTTCGTGGATATGCTGCAATTTTTTTTCGTTTCTCTTAGCTTTATACAGCTTTGGCTGTAAGAACCACTCCAACTTTGGCGCAGTGTGTTACAGTAAGAAGCCATTCCTTCTTACTTCCACACATTTGCACCCATTTGGTGAGTACAGGTAGACGTTGCATGTGC